GATGCGATTAAGAGGAAAGGATCCAGGATTGGAAATCAAGACCTTAAGTTGACTCTCACCACACCGGTGTTTTGACCCCAGCCCTCAACTGAAGTGAGGGATCTTGAATTACTTCACTTTGAGAACCAATAGCTAGGCATTATGAAGTGCTTTTTGCCTGTGACTGTGTTCTGTGTGTGAGCTTTACCCAACATACTGAAGGCATATTGAACTTCATTCAAGTGTAGTTTGTAACTCAAGTTTCCTTGGCCTGACTCAGGCAAGCTTTCACCGGTCAGTACCATGCTGCCAGACGTGTCCATGTGGTGGACATGGGTAGAGTTAGGAACTGTAGGTATTGCATAGACACTTGATACCTAAACCTAATAGTTCTTGACCTTAATGTATAAGCTGTGGTTATTGACTAACTGGTGAATGATAAATGAACTAGATTAGACTTAATGACTAAAAAGAAAACCAGTCTCTAGATTTTATTATATTTGAATTTTATATATTTGTTATTGCTCTCAATAAATGGGCTTTTGCCAGCCTTAAAAATCGTTTCTAATATTATATAGGATATCTAGATATTTCTAATAACTGTACTTGTTTTAATATACTTTGACTTCTGTGGTTGTTTCTGTTTTTGATGTATAGCTATAAAAATCAACTGTTAGCATTTTATCTTCTTTTTAAAAAAACGTAAAAATTAATCCCTTATTTCATAGAAAAATCTTCCCATGGGTGAATACAAAATAACATTGGAATCTATTGAGTACAGAGTCAAATGTATGCTTCATCCAGCCTGTGAACGCCATCATCTTTTGGATACCATTTCACTTCTCTGGCAACTTGTGCCTTTCTATTAGATATATTTCAAGCTACCTGTTTATTTGTTTGAACATTTATGCTCTTATTTTTCCTTCTCTTTCAGTAACCATCGTTGTTTGTTTGGAAAAGTTATACATACATATGATTAAAACACACTTTAGAAAAAAGAGAATAATGATGAAAATGTCACCTTTCTACCCTAGATCTCTCAGTTCCCCTCCTTATAAGCAGCTGTGTTTGCTTTTTCAGTTTTCAGTTTCATTTTCTTGTTATTCTATTAATACAGATGCCAAATGTGAGTTTTAATAATTGTACTATATTTTTATCATGAACTTAATGCATTCTAGATAAGCGAGATATTGGTAAAATTGCAGTTTATATGCTGCTTTTTATTAATGAATTTTTCTTTTTAATTTACTTTGTGTTAATTAATGTTCAGATTATTAAGTAGTTACCATTAAAGATATGCCTACATATTGTTTTGAAATTAAAGTTCCATCTGTTAAAAAAGTTTGTATGAAATATGCATAGTGTATTTTACATGTATATTTATATTGTTTGTGGGAAAAAAGTGATGTAATTCATGTTAATCAAATTGTCTTTATCTTTCGTTATTAACTATTTTGTGTCAAGATGATATAAAAACATGTCAAAAAATATTAAGAAATTTTCTTTAGGCCTTATTTCAAAAAGTTGCCACTTTTAAACAATAAGCAGAAAGTGGGCGTAATAAAAAAAGGAAAAAAAGACTAGTGTTATCTTTAATTGAGGAACACAGCCTATCTGGTTAGTTCTTTTTGACCTAGAACTTTAAAATTAGAATCCCACCGGGCTCGGTGGCTCTGCCTGTAATCCCGCGCCTTTGGGAGGCTGAGGTGAGTGGATTGCCTGAGCCCGCGGGTTCGAGACTCACCTGGGCAACTTGGCGAGACGTCATCTCTACAATAAATGGAAAAAAAAAATTAGCCAGGCGTGGTGGTGCACACCTGTAGTTCCGGCTACTTGGAAGGCTGAGGCGGAAGGATCGCTGGAGCCCAGCCAGTTGAGGCTGCGGTGGCCGGGAACGGCCACTGCACTCCAGTCTGGGCAACAGAGTGAGACTCCAACTCAAAAAAAAAAAAAAAAAAGAAATTAGATTCCTCTGCTAATAAGGCAGATTTTGGAATAGAAGCCTTGATTTCCAGATTCTTAGCGCTTTTAATATCGTCCTTATGCATTTCATCTTACAAGAAATGTAAAATGCCAGGAGTATTGATCTTTTTTTAATTGATATCTATGCAGTCCTAAAGTTCTTACTAATTAAATTAATCAGGTTAATTAATGCTTTTGAGTCAGGGCCTACACTCCAGGCTGGAGTGCAGTGGCATGATCATGGCTCACCACAGCTTTGATATCCTGAGCTCAGGTGGTTCTTCTCCCTCTGCCTCCCAAATAGTAGGGACTATAGGCATCTGCCACCACGCATGGCTAATTTTTAAAATTTTTGTAGACATGAGGTTTCGCTACATTGCCCAGGTTGGTCTTGAACTGGTCTCAAGCATTCTTCCCAACTCAGCCTCCTAACGTGCTGGGATTACAGGCATGAACCACCATGTCTGGCTAGTTTTCTTTTTCAAAAAAATCTGGTTAGTATAACTAGATTCTTAATGGATAATGAAAATGTAAGTAACTGTTATTTTTTATGGTCAATGGATCACCTTAAAAGGATAAAAAGGAAATTAGATTCATTTCATAGATAAATATTTTTCTTACCATGTACATAATGTTAAGTCATTGTAGCTTATTTGTATTTTTTTTTTTGAGTTGGAGTCTCACTCTGTCACCCAGGCTGGAGTGCAGTGGTACTCTCACAGTTACCACAGCCTCAACCTGCTGGGCTCAGGTGATCCTTCCACCTCAGCCTTCCAAATAACTGGAACTACAAGCATGTGCCATCACGCCCGGCTAATTTTTCTTGATTTATTGTAGAGATGAAGTCTCGCGAAGCTGTCCAGGCTGGTCTCAAACCTGTGGACTCAGGCAGTCCTCTCACCTCGGCCTCCCAGAGTGCTGGGATTATAGGTGTGAGCCACCATGCCTGGCCTGTATCTTTTTTTACACGAAGAAAACTTCATTTGGGTTTTCCTAGTATTCTGTGTTGACTTCTATGGAAATTCTAGTTCTCAGAATATTCTTCTTTAATATACTTTATTGAGCCGGGCTCGGTGGCTCAGCCTGTCATCCCGCGCCTTTGGGAAGCTGAGGTGAGTGGATTGCCTGAGCCCGCAGGTTCGAGACCCGCCTGGGCAGCGAGACCTCTCTACAATAAATCAAAAAATCAGCCGGGCATGGTAGCGCACGCCTGTAGTTCCAGCTACTTGGAAGGCTGAGGCGGAAGGATCCGCCCGAGCCCAGCAGGTCGAGGCTGCGGTGGCCGGGAGCGGGCACTGCACTCTAGTCTGGGTGACAGAGTGAGACTCCAACTCAAAAAAAAAAAAAAAAAAATATATATATATATATATGTATACTTTATTAAAAACTTATGTCACTGTGTGTGCTTTCCTAAGTTTAACTTTTTTGTGACTTTATTCTGGAAAGAAATGAGATTTCTCTTTATTCAGTTTATTTGTAGTAACAAGGAATTATAAGAGGTCTTAAATGATTTTGGACAGATGTTCCAGTTTTCAGATGAATGCTAATTGCTCATAATAAGGAAACAAAAAACAAGCAAAACATTGCAAGGGAAGTTAATTGTATCTGTTGTGGTTTGATGAATCAAGCACCTTTTTATTTGGTCTTTCTATTTGAGTACATTTTTCAAGTAAAATCAGTTTTTAAGAAACTAATACTAACCCAATAGATTATGACTGGAATGTAGTAGGTGAAAGCATTATCTTTATCTAATTGTGACTTGAAGATATATCTGAACATTTTGTTTAAATTTGTATAGCTTGAATATTTCCTAGATCACAAACTTTTTTTTTCAATGTATCCTTTGACCATTCAAACATCATAAGTTGTGACAGATTTTTTTTGTTGCTGTTATTTTAAAGTACTCGGTGGAAACAACTCCAATATGCACTGAATTTTTGGAATTTAATCTCAAAACAAAAATGTATAGTGCAAAACTGGGTTGACTCAATTTCAGAAGTGAGAAAGGGAATAATGTAAGTAGATGTAACTTCTTTCTTTTTTTTTTTTGAGTTGGAGTCTCACTCTGTTGCCCAGACTGGAGTGCAGTGGCCGCTCCAGCCACCGCAGCATCAACCTGCTGGGCTCCGGCGATCCTTCCACTTCAGCCTCCCAAGTAGCTGGAACTACAGGCGCGCGCTACCACACCCGGCTAGTTTTTTATTGTAGAGATGAGGTCTCGCCAAGTTGCCCAGGCAGGTCTCGAACCCGCGGGCTCAGGCAGTCCACTCACGTCAGCCTTCCAAAGGCGCGGGATTACAGGCTGAGCCACCGAGCCCGGCTGTAACTTGTTTCTTTCACGTGGGTCGTAGGGTAGGTAATGTGTACAGTAGCCTTGGGAAACAGTCCTCATTCTTGGTGAGCCAATACCAGGGTGAGAAAAAGAGCCAGCCCAAGATCGTTTCTGGTGGCTGAGAAAACTTCCCTGTACCTTTTTTTCCTGGGAGTTCTCTCCACCCGTGCATATGTGAAAAGAAATCCCAAGTGGGAAGTGAAGGGTATGCTGCAACATGATCGTCAGATCACTGATGGCCCCGTTCTGCTTGAGGCTAGGAGCTCCAGAAGGTACTCAGTGTGGTTTGGCCCTTGAGTTTTGCGTTTCCTGGTTAGAAGTAGGGATGTTCTGAGACATTTATATAATATTGTTACCTGTGTATTAGATGTTTTAGAATTACTGAGATTTTAGCAAATGGTAAATGAAAATAATGGTAAAGAACGTAAACTTCACATGAGAATACGATTTGACAATTGTGTAGTGCCAGATAAGCCACTCCTTTGGCAGAACTCTGTAGGTTTCAGCTTTATGCACAGTATTATTTTTTGATAGGCTACTCAACCATTTTTTCCTTTTTTAAGTGACAAACAGATTTCCATTCATCTTTTAAGTCTGTGACTAGCAAGTTTTTGCATATTTCAAGCTGTCTTTAAATACTCCTGTGATATATAAATGAGCAGAACTTAAAAGAGCTCTGTAAGGGCATATTAATTTTTTTTTGGTAAAAATGCTGCTACGATTGCAGGTCCTTTTGGAGTAAATCATGGGATTGAGCTTCATTCAGATGTGGTGGACTATGCCAAGGAAAAACTGGAGAGCTTCATCAAAAATAGCGACAGCTTTGATAAGTAAGTATTCATATTTGTAGTTTTGGATTGAAAGCACATAATGCGATGTTTAGCATGTCCTTGAGCACGTTGATTCTGAATTGCTCAGCTGAATGTAGTAAAAATCAGTGTGCTATAAAGTGAGAGAAAAAAATTTAGAAAATTATTCTGTGCTGTATTTTAATTGTATGTAATTCTGTAATAAATTGCAAATAACCTTCATTTAGTAATTTTGTGCTACTTCTATATTAGTATTGTTTGTTTCATTAAACATCATGCAGATATCTTTTCTGGAGGCAAAATGTAAAGATGCTTGTGATTGTAATACTTTTCTGGAGCTGGTTTTATACTTTTTAGATGGGTAATTTAGTAGTTCCGTCCTCTTTAATTGTGGACAAAAGGAGGGGAGGTTATGATTGTTTTCGAGGAATTTGTATATAAGATCATTAGTTTGAACTCATACATGCCCTTAGAGGAAGTATTGTGCTGGCGAGGGTTGTCTCTGTTGCCTAATCTTAACGAAGATTCTACGTCGAGGAAACTGTGGAGTAAGGGACTCTTAAGCTGAAATTTGGAGGGATTTTCATCTCATTTTTTTGGTGTTTGTGACTTATTTTGAAGGAGATAAAGCCTGAAGATTGATAGGAAACAAACTTAGGGCACTTTATTTATTTGAATGGGAGTCTCTGTCACCAGGCTGGAGTGTAGTGGCATGCTCACAGCCAGTGCAACCTCGACCTGCTGGGCTCAGCTGATCCTTCTGCTTCAGCCTTCCATGTAGCTGGAACTACAGGCGCTTGCCACACCCAGCTGTTTTTTGTTTTAATTGTCAAGATGAGGGCTCCCCATGTTGCCCAGGCTGGTCTTGAGCCCCTAGGATTACAGGCACGAGCCACTGCACACAGCTGGACACAGTCGCTTTATTTGTTTTGTTTTGTTTTGTTTTTTTGGAGTCTCACTCTGTCGCCTAGACTGAAGTGCAGCGGCTGCTCCCGGCCACCGCAGCCTCTACCTGCTGGGTTCTGGCGATCCTTCCGCCTCCGCCTTCCAAGTAGCCAGAATTACAGGCATGCACTACCACGCCCGGCTGATTTTTGATTTATTGTAGAGATGAGGTCTCGCCAAGTTGCCCAGGCGGGTCTCGAACCCCCAGGCTCAGGCAATCCACTCACCTCAGCCTCCCAAAGGCGCCGGATTACAGGCTGAGCCACCGAGCCCGGCTCTGGGCACAGTCTCTTTAAACGTTAACGGAGTTTTAGGTAAAAATGTTGAATTCCTGCTTGGTTTGTTAGGAGTGGATCCTCACTCACCTTCAACTCCCGGTCACTATCATCAAAGTGAGTCTGGATCAGAACTCAGGACTTTTCTCTAGAAGGCCTAGCTTGGGAGATGGTGCCAAGAGAGAAGCCCAAAAGACCGTGTGAATATTTTCAGGGGACTATTTGTCCCCCTCTCTCCTCCTTTTGCCCCTCCTCCCCTTCCCTTTACACTTTTATTTCATTCCCCTTAGCCATTGCCACTTTGTACTTATCCTCTGGCAAGTGGCATTTGATTGGATGAGGAAAAGAAAACGGACGTGCTTACAGCAAAGACCTCAGTGCTTCGAGGAAAAGTGAGGCCTTGTCTGCCTGAGAGTAATTTGGAGGGTGTTGTTAAAGGCATCAGTAAGGCAGACTTGGGGGAGTTGGGAAGTGCTCAGGTTTTATTTCTTTCTGTAATTAAGCCATTTGAGTTATCTGTTTTAATTTGCTGAAGATGTTTCTTTATTTTGTTTTTGCTTATCTTTATAAATAATTTTTATTTCACATTTTGAAATAAATAACTTTATAAACAATTTTTAATTCACATTTCGAACAATTTTTCAGGTGTTTACTGTGTTGGTTCATATTCTGTTTTCCCAAAAAACCCTACATTTGACAGAAATAAAAGTTTTCAGTCTAAGTTATTTGATAGGAAATTGGAATTCAGTTTAGCATTCCTTTGTGTCTTTATTGTTTTTTTCTGTCTTATCATTAGTAGCAGCATGGTAAGTGCTTAAGGTGTGGACATGAAGGTTTTTATAGAGTTATCACAACTAGAATTTTGTATTAAGTATTTGTTTTGATGTTGAAACAATATATACATAAGGGCCTTTTGAATGCATTTGAACTTAGAAAATATAAAAGTAATATTAGGAAAAGCAAATGTTTAAGGTCTGTTCAGGTCTGTTTTATGTTAGGTATTAAATACATTTCACCTATTAACACATGGTGGTTCGGTCTGGGGTCATTAATTGAACAGTGCAGAACCAAGGAAGAATCTCAAGTCATTGAAGCAGCTGCACGTATCTGTGCAGGTCAAGTTTATTGTTGACGAGTGGTACACTCCTGGGAGACAGTGACATGTGTTATGCTTTAAAGTACTTCTGTGTTGATGTAATTTTCATATTAATTAATCCATGACAGATAAGTTTAAAAACTACATGAGTGTCTTAGTTTTTAACAGTTTTCTAAAATTGTTTTTTCATGTAATTGTAAAATGAACAAATTTCCTTGACTATCTTTCTTGAGTTTTATTTTGTTGTTCTTGTGTTATACAGGTTTGTTATTCATAAAATGATGAATCATAAAATTCAGTGATATGACTAATCTGAATGTTTCTTGTAAGTTTTAATGGTCTTGTTTTAGTTATTACAAGTAGTTATTTCTGAAGTGTTACATTGTACTTTTGAAACAGATTCTTATTTATAAACCAGTCTTGAAGAAACCAGTTCTGGAAATCTTATCCTGTTTTCAACAGTATACTAAAATGTTACTGTTGACGTGTTTCAGATTTTAAAGTAGCATATATACAAAAAGTAGGAGTAGCAGGAAAATGTTTCATTTCATGATGGACTCAGTGGGTTCTCTTTTGTTCCTTTTATACAATTTGGTTTCAGTGACACATTATAAAGATACATTTTTCTTATCCTACATGTGTTTTGATGATTTTTTTTACAATATGTCTTAATGTTTGTGTACATTTCCACTTATTTTCAATTTTTAAAATTTAAAAACTTGTGCAAAGTGATTTTTTAAGTTTTATTTCTAAGAAGTTTAATTTTATATAGATCATCAAAATACACAGTTTAATTAACAAAATATAAGGTAACTGAGGACAATTAATACTATTTATGTATTCATTAGTACCAGATTACCCTTGATTATGTATAACATGAAGAGAATAAATATAGCTGAATCCTAATATTCTTCCAATCTTTATCTGGTTGGCTTGGGCCTTTTTTTGTTGTTGATCAGTTCCTTTTTCAAAAGTATTGTCATGTCACTTAATATTTGAATTGCATTTTAAAAGTTTTCATACATATATCTGAGATCATGGTGAACTCAAATAGAGTAGATGGGGGAAATTTTAAACTAATCAGCATTAGAATATATAATTTAAGGTGACTTTTTTTTTTTTTTTTTTTGAGTTGGAGTCTCACTCTGTCGCCCAGACTGGAGTGCAGTGGCCGCTCCCGGCCACCGCAGCCTCGACCTGCTGGGCTCTGGTGATCCTTTCGCCTCAGCCTTCCAAGTAGTTGGAACTATTGGCACACGCTACCACGCCTGGCTAGTTTTTTTATTTATTGTAGAGATGAGGTCTCACCAAGTTGCCCAGGCGGGTCTCGAACCCGCGGGCTCAGGCAGTCCACTCACCTCAGCCTCCCAAAGGCACGGGATTACAGGCTGAGCCACCGAGCCCAGCTTGACTTTTTAAATAAGTACAAGCATATGGTTTTTGTCTTGTATGAAGCTTGGTTCCTGTGTCTTGAAAGTAGTATTCCTTCTTTAGAAAAAAAATTATAATGTGTGTACTTTAAACCTTCCCATGTCTTAGTCTTATAGCAGCAAATGAAATAATTTGGAGAGGCTACTCTGAATTTACTGTACTTGGAGATAGGAAGGAAGGGAGAGCTTTTTATTCCTTCGATGCATATGGTATTCTCAAATTTACTGAAATTCTCTTATTAAAAATGATATGATTTCAAGGGTACTATAAAACATTGACAAATTTCCCCCACAAATTCCAGATGGTAAGTCTTTTAAGGTTCCTGGACTAAAGGTTTCTGTTTGCAACCACCTGATTGTGCCTTTATAGTGTAAAAGTGGCCATAGATGCCATGGAAGTGAACAAGCATGGGGGTGTTCCAGTAATACTTTATAAAAGCAAGCTATAGTCTGAATTTGGCCTCCTGTCCGTAGTTTGCTAATCCCTGTTTTATTCTTCATACATACTCTCCAAAACATCCTGTTTTTAGCTGGACAAGTCTTGGGGCTTGGGTTTGCCTAGGTTTTAAAGGCCTATAGATGGCTTTTGTAAGTGAAGGGCGGAGATTGGGAAGGTCGAATTTGTATTTGTGCATGTACAAATACAAGAAGTGAAATAATCTCTCCAACTGTAGTTACTTGGAAGGGTATGTTAGTTAACAGAGCCTGATTTATAAACCTTTACTATGAAAAACTTTGAATATGTGTTGCTAATTAGTATAGCATTTATTTAAAGCTACACATGTGTATTTATGTAATGTGGTTGCATGCATGTAGTGATTTAGCTCCCTAGAATGCATGCCTTGGAGAGCGCTATTTTCTTGTAAAGCAAAAGGCCAAAAGATCTTATATCCCTCCAAGGTGGCTATAGCTGAGACTTTGGAAATAGCAACAGTATCAGTAGCCGAATGAGTACAGTGTAGTTTGAATTGTTGGGGATTTCCATTCCATATGAATGGAAGACTGTTATCTATATAGTTTGCTATGTAAATGAGTCATGATATGAGTAATGAAAACAATGAGATATTAAAAAATAATAAACCTGATACGCATTTTCTATTCATTAAGTACCATTGGCCATTCTGAGTACTTTTTTTTTTTTTTTTTGAGCTGGAGTCTCACTGTGTCGCCCAGGCTGGAGTGCAGTGGCACGCTCACAGCCACTGCAACTTTGACCCACTGGGCTCAGGCGAATCCTTCTGCCTTAGCCTTCCAAGAAGCTGGAACCACAGGTGT